TCTCTCTCACTCTCCCTCTCCATCTCTCTCCCCCATACTCCATCTCTGTCTCAGTACTGCCTGCTATCGTTTTCTGCCCCCACCTGCTTGCATCCGTCTGCCTCTCTTTCACATTCTACCCTACTTGTTTTCTCTCTTCTCTCCCTGTCTCCCGCTCTTTTCCTCTCTCTCTCTCTCTCACACACAAACACACACACCCTGTTTGAAGTTCTTCTCTTAAAATACGACGGGTGTTTCTGTCTAGTTCTTTCTCCACGTCCCTCTGTCTCCCCTCAGGTCTTGAAGCTCTCCACTGTCAACTTGCGGGATGCTCTCTGTTTCCCTCTCTCGCTCCCTCCCAGACTTTATCCTAGATTAGTTTGTTTATTAATTCGTTTTCTTCAAATTCTTGCAATGTTTCAAGAATTCTTTGCTCATGTTTTTCCCGAGTTGTTTCTTTCCAACATGGAGATTTCCACCTCTGTGCTGTTTCGTTGCTGCTTTTTTTGCAAACACTTCCGCCATTCTGTGTTACCCACGACAAGCAATGACGTCAACTGTTATGGAGCTCGGTGACGATAAGCCCTGTGACTTTGTGAGTTCTCTATGCATGTTCTATTCTGACGGGATAATATGCACTGGTGACTGATTTTAATTTGGCCTACAAAAAGTGGCAAGGCAGGGAGTTGCCGAGCTTTGAAAGATCCTGATCAGGATCAATGAAAAAGTTCAACGGAACTGTAACTTGAAAGGAGAGCACCTGAAGATAGTAGACGAGCATAATGAAAGGAAAAAGGGACTGTGCCGCACCCAGGCAGGGAATTTGCAGTCTGCTGTGTGGGGCGTCGAGTGTTAGACAGCTCTGGGACTACTTAATCGCGATTAACGAAGTGTTAATCCTCCTGGACCGGCAAAGTGAATACATCTAGGTGAACCGAGTAGATGGGAGAAGTCAATTCAACAATCAAAGTGTTAATCCTCCCGGACCGGCGAAGTGAATACATCCATGTGAATCGAGTAGTCAATTCGACAATCCGCAAGTGGAGGGAACTCGTCTTTGAAGACCAGGAGTTCTTTCCGGAAGAGTGCAGGCAGGCCGTGTGGCAAGCTGGAATGGAGGCCATAATGAAGGGGGTGGAGCGGCTCCACGTTGACTAAGGCGATGACGTGGCAGTTCAGGAGCCATATGACTGCGATGACGTTGACGGTGACAGCAATTACAACTCGAGGTATTGCTGGAGATTCGGCCCTTTGGGAGGAAGGTCATGAGCTGTTGCGGGAGTGGGGGAAAGGGTTCCATGCAGAGGAATCAGCGGAAGAAGAAAACGGACGGTGACACGTGCGGGAGCGATGGGAAGCTATAAATCTCCCACGGAGGCGGCCGTGGGCGGCAATGACCGTGGCCGCGACCCCGCAGCCATGGCCGTGTGGCCGCGCGATTTTGCGGCTGCGTGGCGGCCAAGGGGGGGGGAGCTGGGTTTTGGGAAGTGGGTTCGGGTTGTGCGAACACCCCCCCACCCCCTCAAAGAAAAAAAAACAAACAAACAATTTTTGGGGGAAAAGGGTTTCGTGATCAAAAATGAAAAAGAAAAAAAGAAAAAAAGGAAAAAAAACTAGGTTT